ATTTTGTATTGTATTATATATTATTAATTATATACTATATTATGCATATATTGGGTCCTAGACCGAAGGGGAGAAAACAACCTCTTTTCAGAGTTATTATTTTCAAAGCTCCTCTCCTTATCTAGCTCCATCCTATTGTTAGGTGACACGGAGTGCGTTCTGAATCATAGCAACCCTAGAATGCAACAACAGAATGAAAACCAGTTTCAGCTGTTGCATTTAAGCCCCATTTATCCAGCCAAACAGCATGGATGTGGGCTCTGGGACACAGAAAACTATCTAACTAGTTAGCCTTGTTATTCTCTCCAGATGGGAGGTTCGTGGCTACCTATGCCTATCAGAAAGAAACATTACCTGGTCCTGTCCTATCTCCATGATCATTGGTGTGTTTGAGTCTGTTGAATCCATTATGTTTTATTATAATTTTCTGGAGGGTAGTGTAAAATTCTTTCTGCAGCCGCAGAGAGCTAGGCGCATAATGTTGTTAGTTACCATCAAGTCAGAACCGACCCATAGTTGACCTTCTAGTGGGTTTTCACAGGCAGTTTAACTGCAAGGGAGGAGGTTGTCCATCTTTCTCCTATTAAGCAGTTGGTGAATTAGGATGACCTGCCTTTGGGTTGGTAGCACAATTCCTTACCATTAAGCCACCAGTGTGTCCTATGTGCATAGTAGGCACTTTAAACAATGGAGTTTTTCCTGTTCTGCACCATGTCTCCAACTTCTAGACCTTTTAACCGTTTCATAACTAGAAAGGAAGAATTAAAGCTATCTCCAATTTGCAGAAGAAATCATTCTGTGTATGTTGTTGTTGTGTGTTGTAGAGTCGGAAACGACCCATAGTCGACCCTCCAGCAGATTTCCAGAGGCGGTAAACTGCGTGGGTGAAGAAGGCCCACCCATTCCCTCTCAGCACCTGGTGAATTTAAACCACCTGTGGCTGTTAACAGAAACAGTGCACGAGATGCCATCCAGGTTCCCTTTTCATTCCCAGACCCTTACTTCTTTTGGCTAGGGTAGCCTTCAAAATCCAAGGAGACTAAGCACGCGCCAGACCTAGTTCACCTACTCTGCTCCCCGCGCGCCGCTGTAGTTGCTATAGAAACGGTGGGAAATAACAACTCCATTCCCGGGGGTAAAGGAGGCCCACAGAGGTAAGGGCAGCCGGAGGAACAGCCGCTGCGAGGTGCGGCCGCCAAGTTCAAGGTGGTGCCAGTGGACTCGCAGCTCGGCGCCCCCGCCCTGCGCCCCCTCGCGGCGCCCCCCGCCCAGCCCGGCGAGCGCCGGGGTCTCCCCCTTCCCCACCAGCCTTTGAGTGTCGGTAGGTACCAGCTGGGCAGGCGCCTCCCGGGAGACCCCCGTGGCCATCCTGGAGCCCCAAGTCTTGTCCACTCCGCTGCCCTTCCCTCAGGACCCAAGTTAAGTGTCAACTGTGTTCGAATGAAGTGGCCCAGGAGCTACGCCACTCAGCGGCGACCCTCATCCTGAAGGTGGGGGGAGTGGGCCCACACGTCTTGTCCACATCTTTTTCGGTGCACTTTCGGTATTTATTTTTTAAATTGACAAAGTAATTTTTTTAAAAAATTGAGTATTTTTAAACAGTCTCTTAAGGGCTGTCAACTGGGTGCACAGGGTCAATCAAGCTCGAGATATAATGAAGGAGCAAGGAGAGAAAAGAAAAAAAAGTTACCAAGTGTGACTTTGTAAACTGGGTTCATCAATAACTATGAAGGGTATTCCTCCCCCGTCCCGCCCCATGTGCTCCGTCTCGGGCCTGTTTAAAGCCCCTCACGTGGCTCTCGTGCCCAAGTTGTGCACCTGGTCTTTGTTTAACAGGTGGCGTTGGTGCACCGAGAGCGCTGATTGGCTGCTCAGACCGAAGTGAAACACTTGAACTGCAGGGTCTGCGGGCTGGACTCCAGGGCCCCGCAGTCCCTTGTCGCTCACTTATCTCTTGCGCTTTAGTTTCAGGCATCGATCCTGCGCTGTTTGCGCGGTGGGGTAATTGGGACAGCGGAGGTGGCCGCATCCTGCCCGGAAGATGAGCGGCACCAGTACCAGGTCCAACCACCTGTCTCAGCCCGTGGTGAAGAGCGTGCTGGTGTACCGCAATGGGGACCCCTTCTTCGCCGGGCGCCGCGTGGTCATCCACGAGAAGAAGGTGTCCAGCTTTGATGTCTTCCTGAAGGAGGTGACAGGCGGCGTTCAGGCGCCCTTTGGGGCAGTCAGGAATATCTACACTCCGCGCTCGGGCCACCGCATCCGGAAGCTAGACCAGATTCAGAGTGGGGGCAACTACGTGGCTGGAGGCCAGGAAGCCTTCAAGAAACTCAAGTGAGTTTCTGCGCCACCACTGTCCGCCGTTTCAGGGTGCTTTTAGGTGTCTGATGACAGGTGCAAGTGAATGACAGCCCCCAAACAACACACAGAAGTGAGGGGCCCCGCAATGGGCCATTTGATCCCTTTCAAAGGCGCTGTTGAAATTACGGACTTGAGGCTGAAAGATGAATAGAAAATTTCTTTTGGGTTAGCAGTAGGAAGAGAATTAAAAATTTGTGTAGAAACAAAAATCTCTGTCTTTTAAAAAAAGTAAATGTATTTTGTAAAGGATATTTTAAAAGATCGTACAATGCTTGGACAATTTTGTTCTGCTCTGATTTTTCTACGTTTTCTTTTCCCTCCTTTAAGACTGCCTTCTTGGTTCAAGCAACGAGGTTTTAGAAATAACTTTTACTGAGTATCTTAGACAATATATTATCGTGAGAGGAGAAACTTTCTTGGTATCTTTTCCCTTTCGCAGTTTAAATTCTTTCATCTTTCATTCCTTGAATGAACTGACCACGCCCCTCTTTCCTATGCTTTCTCCCAAGTCTGAATTAGGACTGGCTTGCCTTTTCTGTATTTGTCTACATGTCTGTCTACATTATTTGTTAGATCCTGAAGGACAGGGGTGGCTTATTGGTGCCTATTCCTAGATCCTGGCATGGTTTAGAATTGAGAAAAATTCTTTCTGGTGGAGATGAGCATTAAAAGGTAGATTCAATTTTACATGTCTTAGTTTCTCACAGCTGTATGTCACATAACACAAAATCCACCCAGTTTAATATATTCATAGAGTTATGCAGCTATCATTTCAATCTAACTTTAGAACATTTTCAAAGTCCTCAAAAGAATCCTGGGTTGTTTTTTTTTAAATCCTGTACCTATTTGCAGTCATGATTCTATTTCCTCCCACTTCCAGCTCCAGGCAACCACTGATCTATTTCTGTCTCTATAGATTTGCCTATTATGGGACTTTTACATATATAGAATCATCAAATATGCTATTTTTGACTGACTTCTTTTTCACTTAGCATGTTTTCAAGATTTATCCATTCTGTAGCATGTATCAGTACTCCCTTATGTTTATTAACAAGTAATGCTTCTTAATATGATGTATTTTGCTTATTCAGTCATCATATGATGGATATATGTGGTGTTTTCCTTTTTAGCTCCTATAAATAAGGAATGCTACTGTGAACATTCATGTAAAAGTTTTTGCATAAACCATATGTCTTGGGTAGATACCTACGAATGCAGTAACTTGGATAGATAGCTGGTGTGGAATAACTGAGAGACATGATAACTCTATACTCCATAGTTTCAAAATTTTATACACTATTTACCTTGGCCTCAAGATAGCAAACTATAGCCTTACCCTGGACTGTGTTCTTATGGAGTCTCTTTTTCACCATAGAGAATTATTCTTCCGAATACCACTAAAGTTATTTAAAATCATCCTTCCAATTCTACATTATTTAGATGGAATTCTAGACGTTCTGCTTTTTTGTTATTCCAGACATTATTTTTATGGAAGACAAGTAAATTATCTTGCCCTGAAGCATTCCTCTAAATATGTCTTCTCTACTTTAGTAGAAAAGAACATGCATGGTTTAAAGAAACTTACAATTTAAAGTTAAAAGACTGGGGACTGGGTTGCTTATTAGCTCTGTATCCTTGGGCAAGTCACATGACTCAGCTAATCAGTTTCCTAATATAGAAAGAAAACAATCATCTCTACCTTATAAGTTTGTAAGAACATTAAATGCTCTGGATATGAGTGTGTTTTGTTAACATCATATTATTATCTATATAAAAGATATGTGCAGTTTCTTTGATCATATACTTTGTTGTTGTTGTTGTGTACCATCAAGTTGGAACTGACCCATAGTTGACGCTCCAGCGGGTTTTCAAAGGCAGTCATCACACAAGAGGAGATTGTCCATCCTTCTCCCACAGAGCAATTGTTGGCAGATTAGAACTGTGTGCCTTTAGAATTGTAGTGCAGATTCTTACCACTAAGCCACCAGAGCTCTCTATCTTACATTTTATTTGTCTTTTATTGAGTAGTTTCTATATGAAATGATATTTATGGCAATGGAACATTGGTTCAGATTGGTTCAGCTTAAAATTGTAGAAGCATTTTAGCAATTCATATTCTCCTTTGTTTGGCCCTAGCCACTCAAAAGATAAAGATACAATTCTAAACCAAATTGTAAGTATACTTAAATATTAGCTTTCAAGTGTGCTTAAGAACTCACTTTATGTGTACAAGATATTTAAAACAAAACTGAGCTTGTTATAACAGTGTTTGGTTGTTGACTTTCTGTGTTGATAGATCAATAGTTTATTTTACTTGGGTTTAAGTACAAGTATCTCAGGATATAATGACAGGAGTCAATGGAATTAAAAGGCTGTGTTTGAAGCTTAGCAGTATGAGCTTAGGTAAAAAGTGAAGCAACTGGTAGAACGAAGGAGTATCCAAAAGCTGTTGAGGTAACTTGTTTGCTTTCATTTGGACTCTAAATGATGTCTGGGTAGATAACAACAATGGAAAAATATTTTTCAGATGAAAGTTATGAACCTCCTCTTTGATTTATTTTCACTCAGATTTTTGTAATATTTTTAAAAACCATAAATAACTTCAGGCAGATATTTTGTAGTGTGGGGTTCTGGAGATTGTTATTTTCCACTAATGTTTCCCTGTGCACATTTGCAAGTTAGTTTTACTACATTAGTCTTGTGGATATGGGGTCACTCTCCAGCACATGGCAGTTAGAATGTTGTGGTATTAAGTCAGAAATCAATCCCTGCATGTCCACAAAAGAGCCATTTTATTGCAAAGATAGAGGAAGTATTTGCACTGCCTCCTGTAAATACTCTTTGTGTGTGAAGAAATGAATAATTTTCAAAGATATTGATCTAGCTAAAACGTTCTATTCAAAGACACAAATAATAGCACAACCACATTTCAAAGCCAGAAGTAAAAACTAATTCTAATACAAATGTTTGTATTTTGCAACTCAGTAGTTGAGATAATGTATGTATGTATATTATTATAATGGGAGAAGGATAGGCAGTGTCCTCCAGTGTGATTAACCTGCCTCTGAAAACCTTCCTGAGGGTCAGCTATGGGTTGGTTCTGACTTAATGATATGTGGCAACAACATTATAATAAAATTTTTATTTCTTACATTCTGTGTATGAAGTACAGTTCAAGGGACTATAGAAAATTGGAACAAGATTATAGTGATGAACTTCAAGCTTAAAGCTCACAAAGGCGTAAAGTATGAAGTTTTCAGGTTGTGCTTAGGTCACAGCTAAAGAATAGCCACTAGTTAATATCTGTAACAAACAGTAGTGAAATAGTAAGGGTCTCCAGAGACTAACGAGTCCACCCATATGTTTCTTAGCTGAACGAATATCTAAACCATCCCACATGACAGAGCATTTCTGCATCATTAACGTGATCTCATAGGAAAAGAAGATTTCCCAGCCTTTTCCACTTGCTACCCTAAAGCATTTTCTTCCTTTTATTTGACCTAACATCTGTGATTGATGGAGCTGTCAAGCAACTAGACTGACAAACCACATTTTATATACAATTCATATAGGAATCATACAAGAGTACATATAATGCATAATTAATGATTAAGGGGAGAATGGTTCCTAATAGAATAATGTATTTATTCTAAGACTACAATTCCTTTCATGTTTAGCATAGACATTTATTAGTTCTGGGTGGGGATGCTGAAAGTGATTCTTACAACTTTAACTGCTTTTAATGAATAGCAATTAATTTTTGCTGTGGGTTTAATTATTTCCTATGACTTGCTTAGAGAAATTTATATAACTGATGGAAAAGTTATGCAAACAACCTTTATTGTCTTTTCCTCCCCCCAGTTACTTGGACATAGGAGAAACCAAGAAAAGACCAGTGGAAGTTGTTAATACAGAGGTAATGTAAATAATATTTTGAAACCTCAATAAATTCCAGCACCAGTTTTGTGTTTCTTTTGATGTGTCTTGAGGAGCTCTGATGGTATGGTATGTGTTGCTCAGCTCACAGAAAGGTCAGCGGTGCACATCCACCACCTGCTTTGTGGGAGAAAATGGACAGTCTTCTTGATTTACAGTCTGGTACACCTTGTGGAGGCAGTATTGATACAAGTGTGTTCTTTTTTAGTTTTGTTTGTTTTGCTATGTTTTAGCAATTTGGATACTTTTCTGATCATGAGAGTTGAAGATTCTAGTTTATATACACCCCCCCCAGTTGCATTGAATAAATTTCTTGCTTCTGAAGCCCCTCTGTGCAGATTTGAAATACTAATCTTTTGGTTAGTTGCTGAGCACTTAACTATTCATGCCACTTAGAGACTTCAGTGTGTGTTAGAGCTGTGGTCTACAGAGTTTTCAGTGGCTGACTTTGCAAAGTAGGTCACCTGGGGTTTCTTTAGGCATTGTAGGTAGACTTGAATCACCAAACTTTTGGTTAGAAACTGAGTGTGTTAACTGTTTGTTTTCTGTATATTCTAGGAAATCTAGTTCATATAAATGGAATATATATGTGTATACGTGGCTCTGGTGGTGTAGTCTT